AGGTGTATAAATGGGTACCGGCGAACTGAATGCTGGGGGTAACCCTGCGATGAACTAGCAACCCATCCAGGGGGAGTGGAAATACTCCTAGTCACCTCATACTATAGAAACCGGGATAAGCACATTAGTTAATATTAGAAAGCATTTTCAAAATTTCACGAGAAAAAAACCCCCCAAAACACTGTTTTCCGAGGTTTGTCCCCTGGACAACTTCCTTATAGCTTATGGACAGGATGAACTTAAGTCCATGCTTCTTGAACCATTCATTAATACGTTATCGTTTTTATAATGAACAGCCAGTTTTTAACACTTAGGAGCTAGTCATTCATGTGACCTGAAAAAGCTCATTTTTGAAGTCTGAGTGTGAAGTCCTTTAACGTGTCCCACAGAATTGTTTTGCAAAAAAAGAATATTTTTAAGGTATATTAGATCTCCGGAAGCGCATTTCCCGACAGTGTAATTGAAGCTTGACTGCATGTAACTAGACTGGCTGACAAGAAGATACAGAAAATCACAAAATTGATGAGCTGTATGAATTTTCGAATGATCTAGACGGGAAACGGACAGGAGAATTCAAACAAAGCATACCGCTATAATTTATACGGTACTGTAAATAAATATGGACATGGTGAAATGATATCAACAATTTATAGTTGATGAAAAGAAGAAAAGACATTAAACAGAACAGAGCTGGGAGTTCTGCAGTCACTGATATCCCTTGGAAAGGGAAGATGAAAAAAAAAAAAAGAAAAAAAAAAGTCAGTTACAAAAAAGGGGTATTCTTATTTGATCACCAAACAGAGTTCTAACCCTGCCGAATAGGGCGTAACTTTGGTGATCCAACGAGATGCATTGCTGTACGTCCTGGTGGTATAACCTTCGATCTTATAAAATGCCTAACTGAAGATCGGTATTAGATCTCATCAAAGATATTTGGTTTACACCCTTACGTCGATGGCGTGGACGAACTCTCCTGACGCTTTGTGGGGCAATGGATAGGATAAGCCGATCAGGACCAAGAAGCCGCCAGAAAGTGAATACAAGGGGACGAAAATCACTGATAGAAGAACAACAAAAGGGAAACAAATGAGAACCCGCTAAAAAGTAGGGGTGTCGAATGGTATCCAGAAAATCGTGGATCTCGGAAATTTTTGATCCGATCTCGAAATCTCGGAAGCTTTTCTGACGAGTCAC